ATTTACTAAACCGACGTACCAAACCGATGCTAAATAAAACAAAAATTAAATTTATTAAATTTTATTAATCAATTAGAACAGTTTAATCTCCTTCTTCTTCCTCCGCCTAAACTGCAAATCCAAATTCAAAAATCAAAACATTTCTGCAAAATCATGGGGTTTTCGTTTTTCTGCATCCCTAAATTTGATTTCGTTACTTCCGCAATCGTCGTCAGTGTCAATAATCACAAGGTTGCTCGAGTTTATAGAAATCCGATTTCGATCCTTTCTCCAGAAGCTCAGGCGAACAATCCGATTTCGGGTCAAGCAAGCTCAGGTTCGTAAAGTTTGAATTTCCTAAAAATTGAGCTGTGTTTATGACGAAATACAGAAGAAGAATACATTATGCTTGAATCTAACAATGCTTATGAATTTCGTTCAAGGATATTTTGTGAAGAAATTTAAGAGGATTTTCAGAGCTCGCGAATCTCAAATTTCTCTGCAAATTTAAGGTAAACTTTCGATCCTTTTAAATTTGCAAAGGTCAAAATCAAGTTGTTTGAAGCTCTATTAGTTTTGCATCCGATCTATTAGTTTTGAGCATATGAATTTCTCATGATCTTAGAATATGAATTTTTCATGATCTTAGAATAAGAATTCTCTTCATGGTTCCATGGGAGAAAGCCACTAGTGAAATAGTGGCAACAAATTTGGTTTTGTTGAGTCTGATTGTGAAATTTCATGATCAATTTTCTCATAAAGCATTGTCTTACGAGAAATCTAGTTTAGCTTCTTTCATGATATTATTGATATTGGCTTAGCTTCTTTCATGATCTGGGAATTGAACTTCTGAAAGCTTTAATTGACTGTGAATGAATCTCTTGAATATTTGAACTTGTTTTGTGAACTTTGGTCTTCTCAAGTCTCATATTTGATTTTGTCTACTGATTTTTATGAATGGTATTGTGTTCGTTTAGTAGCTAAACATACTTATTCTTGGATGAACTTTTATGTAGAACAATGGACAAGTCTTGGATAGTAAAACATCATTTGTCTCAAGACTATATAAATGGAGTAAAAGGGTTTTTGGATTTTGCCTTTGCAAATATCAATTCAGAAATGATAAAATGCCCGTGTAAGCGTTGTTGTCTTGTTAAATACAAGGTTAGAGCTGAAGTGAGGGTGATTTGATTTGTCATGGTTTTCTACACACCTATACAAACTGGTATTTGCATGGTGAAGAATTAGACTTAGAGGAGCAGACAGTTAGTTTAGATAATGCGTCTAACCTAGATTTCGTTGAAGACCCAACTATGACTCTGCTTGAAGATGCTTTTCCGAATATGGATAACAGTTTTAGTGAGTCTGCTAGTCCTAGAGAGGAGGATCATTCGAAGCAGAAGGAGGCACTTGATGATTTGTTATCAGATTGTAATCAAGCTCTCTATGAAGGATGTCAGTCTTTTAGCAAGTTGTCTTTCATGCTTAAGTTGTATCACATCAAGTGCATGTCTAGAATCAGTGACAAAGGAATGTCAATGATAATTGAGCTCTTGAAAGAAGCATTTGAGCACGCAAAGCTACCAGATTCTTTCAACGATATGAAGAAGATTATTCGAAAGTTAGGATTCACATATGAGACCATTCATGTGTGTCCTAATGATTGCATGTTGTATTGGGGAGAAGATGCATCTAGACACACTTGTAAAGTCTGTGAAAGTTCAAGATGGAAGACACCTAAGCCAGTTGCTGAGAAGAAGAAGAAAAAGAAGCAAGAGGCGGCCAAAGTACTTAGATACTTTCCACTGAAACCGCGCCTGCAACGTTTCTTTATGTCATCCAAAACTGCAGAGTATATGAGGTGGCATGATAGTTCTAAGAATACAGATGGTAGGCTTAGGCATCCTAGAGATGGAATGGCTTGGAAATCATTTAACCAACAGTTTCCAGAGTTTGCATCAGACCCGAGGAATGTCAGATTAGGATTGGCAACTGATGGTTTTAATCCTTTTGGTTCTATGAGCACAAACTATAGTGTATGGCCTGTGCTATTGTTCCCTTACAACTTTCCTCCTTGGATGTCAATGAAACAAACCTCGATGATACTTTCAATGATAATCCCTGGAAGGAACATGCCGGGAAATGATATTGATGTCTATCTTCAGCCTCTTATCAAGGAACTAAAAGAGCTATGGTATGATGGAGTTTCTACATTCGATGCATCTTTGAAAGAAACATTTTGTATGCGTGCGGTTCTGTTATGGACTATAAGTGATTTTCCAGGGCTAGGGAATTTATCTGGGTGGAATGTATACAAAGGATTAGCATGTCCTTCTTGTAACTACGATGCTACAGAGCTCCGTCTACACTATGGCAAGAAAAACTGTTTTATGGGACATAGGCGTTTCCTTCCTGAAGATCATAGTTTTAGAAAAGATAAGCAACGCTTTGATGGTTTTATTGAGACAAGGGTTTCTCCTACTACACCATCAGGAAGTGTTATTCTCCAACAGATTGGAAATGTTGATGTTACATTGGGGAAGAGAGTAGATGCTGTTGGTAAGAAGAGACGCCCGTTTGGAAACTGGGTGATAGAAGAGGGCAAGATGATAGAAGCAGCCGGAGAGAATCTTCATTCAAATAAGTCACACGTAGAAGTTGCAAGGTCTTCAAGGAAGGGAGACAAACAGTTGGAGAAACATCCACAAGAATGTTCCCGCCTTGAAGTTTCAGTGTCATGAGGGAATTGCAGGTAGACAAACTCCTCGGCAATGATATTACATCATCACTTGGATTGGGATTGAAACAAAAAGAGACAATACTTAGCTCACGCACAAAGCGAGAAACCGCAATCCCAATCCATAGTTTGATTTTCTCTGGCTGACTTAAACTACGATGAAAAAATCTGAGGAGCAAGCTTTCTATGACCGGAGATCTATGCAATGGCCAGATTCTTGTCAATAAATTCCTCGTACCTCAACCATGAACATGGAGACATTAGAAAAGTGAAAGTATACTCAAGTTTTGGCAACCACATCCAAATAAACTCCCATTGTTTCGACAAGATGCTTGTGGAGACTGCAACTTTTGTCGGAAGAAACGATAATATCTTAAGCAGCAAGTCATCAGACAAATCACTGATTCTCACCATATCTTGTCACCGCCAGACAATACAAAGCCCTAGATAAAATATTGTCACCGAGCGTCGACCTATACTTGAAAACAAGAATACCCTAAGACACTCAAAACTCATAAGGATCTGTCTGAAGCCAACCCACCAAAAGAAAACAAAAGCCACACAAAGAACGGAGACGAAACCCTAGAAAATCCAGTCTATGTAAGGGCTTTGAATCAACACGAAGGAGGTGGGCGTGGGCCGAATCAAACGGACTTTAGCAGTTTTGCTAACGAATTTATGGATCAAAATAAATTTGAATGGATCCCGGTTTAGTTTGATTTGATGTATGTCAATCCGGTTTATACTGACCAATCAAAATGATAAGCTTGATTCGCCATGGTCTCCTGTGAAGGAAGAGAGAGATGAGAGAAAAATAGTGTGAAATGGATTCAGAGTTACCTGATTCTTCTCTTTTGTAAAACATGAGACATGTACAATGAGAAACTAACAGAAATGCATGTAACATATGAGCACATGTCGCTTTGTACTACCTACTTACTTTGTAACTCTTCCTTCTCTCGTTTAATATTTGAAACTTCAACTTCAAGCTCCACAGTATAAGCTAGCAAAAGCACTTCAAAAGTTTATGAAACATACTTTTTGTGGTTTTGCTCAATGAAACCAGATGGTATTTTATAAACTACAGATGTGGCTCTGATCAATTACTATCCGGTTCTCAAATACTTTTCAAGAAATGATACGTGGTTCAGAGGGAATACAAAACACAACTACAATAGAAGTAAATTTGGCAAGGAGATGAGAGGAAGAGCATTACAGAAGATGTCCAAGGCTGCATTAAAACGCATTTTTCACTTCTTCAAGATTTGGTGTTATATTGAACCCTTTTTCGTCACATAAGACGATCCCTATCACAGAGAAATTACACTAGAGAGATGCTGCATTAGAGACCAAAGGCCAGATAAGAAATAAATAAAACTCACCAGAAAAGGACAATTATACTTATGCATCTCTCTCTCTCATTTCATATAAGAAATAGAATTGACATACAACAACGAGCATTGGGCATAGAGCCTAAAACCAGAAAACAGAAGATGCATGGTTCTACGGCATGGAAACAGCTTCTAGTTCAGCGATTTGTAAACCAGATTGTGCATCCAATGCAGAGGAGAACAACAATTGTTACAGCATTAAATGCAGCCTAAAGCCTTCAGACTTACACAAGCAAACAAGAATTACACTAAAAACATACTGAAGACTCAAACAGATCCCAAAAACATCTTTCTCATTGTCGCATACAAGCTAACATTGCAAAGAGTCTACATATACCATGAGAGCATTGGAATTTAGATACCAATAAATAACTTTCTCATGCTTCTCTTAGAAATTGAAGATGCAAAAACATACAAAAGATCATGTAATCGATCGCCTTGTGGAAGTAGCGGATCGGCGGGCTCCTGATGTGAAAAGACTTCGCACTTGAGGAGAAGTAGTCCCCAAATGCGATCGTCCCCCAGAGTGCTGTCATCTCGGCGCGGTCGACGTCGAGACCGTGGCGGTTGCCCGGCGGTAGAGAGAGAGCTCGGTCGATCTCTCTGTAGGTAAGGTGGTGCCTCCGTCGAGTGGCCCAGAAGGTGATGTAGCCGTCACTGCCGTCAGATGTAAACTTGCCGTCGTCGCAGGGATCGTCTGTGAGTGTGGCAAGGAAAAGGCAAGTCGCCTTCCGATATGACTCGTGCTGCTGGTACATGACTCGACCGATCCCTAGGTTGTGGAACATCTCGTCGATGTCCTCGGCGATGCGGAGGGTCGGTGTGAAGTAAGTCCGGGGGAGGGTCTTTGTGTTTACTAACGTCTTTTTCTTTCTTTTGTTTTCTGTTTCACCTTGAGTCATTTTGATGTTTTCTTTGAGTCAGGTTTTATTGAGTCAAAAACTTGTTGGGAATAAACTTATCTGATGAAACCATTTGTGCTCTTGAATTCTTTCTATCTAGTGACCAATTTTGCAGGGTTTGTTATGTGTAAAAAGCTGGATTACCCTTTTGGTCAGACTTCCCCCAGGAATTTTCGTTTTGCAGAGATTTTGGTGAAACATTTGGTTGACTCTAATGCTATTGGACCACTAATCTGACATCAATTACCTCTCATTCGGAATGTCATAGCAGGGAAACGGACCATACACTCAGGACTTCTTATTCATTTTACCACTCTCTGTTGATCCTGAGTGGCCAGCCCATTTTTGGTTGGTACCCCACCTTGAGCCTTACCTTCTTTCTGACTTCATGCACTCTGTTCTTCTATGTCATATATGCAGATATGTGCAAAAACGTCGGAGAGAAAGGTTCGACACAGCTTCCCAACCACATTCAAGACGAGTGTTCATCTATAACACTGAGAATGGGAAGTGATGGTGGAGTATGGAGCCTGAATCGATCGAACTGATGGTCGTTCCTTGGAGAAGCACGAATACACGGTAACATTTACGAGCCATTGACACTAGTTCCCTCATCAAAAAAAAAAAAAAAAAAAAAAAAAACTTGAGGAAAGGAACTAGTGGTTCAATAAAATGTCAAGCTCGACCGAATACCTCCAAGGAACACCACCGATCAAGGCGAATTGGGAGTTAGAGCTGTTCTGGATAAAATCCAACATACAAGGAGTTGAAGAGTGAAGTGGTTGGGAAATGTGGCTATCAACAGAACCATTCTCTCTTGCTGTTTTGCGCGATATCATGCATCCTCCGGCGTATCTGGTAACCCTTAAACACTTTAACCTCACCAAAACAGGCCTTTTGATACCCAACACCGTCGACCCTGTATGATGTTCTTGATGAGAGGTCCACGCCAAATCTTAATGAATGTAGAGAGTTAACCAATGTGTAGCTTGAGTTTCTGCAGGATGGAGGTTCATCACGGGATCAGGAATGCGAGACTTCAAGGGGACTACAGTGATTATGCACTGACCGAACCTTGTCCTTTGAGGTCTACTGATGATCCTTCGGGGTATGGTTGCTGATGATTTGTGAGTTCCCGCGTTTTCAAACTTCTTCTCTATTCTTGGAATTTATGTTTGCTTGAGGGCAAGCAAAAGACCAAGTCCGGGGGAGTTGATATCTTGCGTATTTGACGCATTCTAACACTTGTTTTCACGAGTTTTATCGAGTCTTTCTAGTCTTTATCGAGTCTTTTCAGGTCTAAAGACGTTCCAGGGAGAGCTTTGGTCACATGGACCAACAGGAGAAAGCAGGCAAAACGGAGCAGATAGGAGTTCGATCGACTCCGCACAAGGTCGATCGAACCTGTACACGAGACCAAGCTCGATCGATCCCATCCACACGTACAGGGTCGCTCGAATGCATGCATTGAGAGGCAGCTCGATCGAACCCACTGTCGACGACGCAGCTCGATCGATCCCATGCAGAGCAAGCCAGCTCGATCGATCCCGTTCTATCTCAGCCGTCCGATCAAACCCGGTCAGATGATATCACAGCCGTTCGATCTACTTGGTGCAAACCGACTTGATCGAACCACAGCGAACCGGATTGAACCGAAGTCGACCCCGGAGCTATTTAGACCTACCTTTAGCCACGTTTAGGCTACGCCGTTTTTCAGAGTTTTTACACTGTTGTTCATTGTTTCCGAGGGAGAAGAGATCAAACCTCTGTTTTCACAGTTTGGAGAAGATTTCTGAACCCTTTGTTTGCTATTTTCTTATTTGATTCAATGACATTTTATTCAGTATTGTTTGCTGTTTCACCATGTCTGAGTAGTCACCCTGCTAGATCTAGGCTTTTCAAAGGGATTCATGTGTTAACTTGACTGAATACAGATAGGGCTTTAATACTGTCTTCGCCATTGTTGCACTTACTGCTTAGATCGATCTGATCATTCGATCTCTGATCTCAGATTACCTGTTCATCAAAAGTGTTATAGGTTGTTAGAACGAACTGTGGTGAGCGAATCGTCCTTAGCCTGCGAAAGTTGATGCTGAGGCGATTCGTGAACTTATCGAACCTGAGTTTATTGCTTGTCATCAACTGCTAGATTCAAACGACAGTTTAGACATCTAGGTTGTTAGATAAAGTTATCATTATCGCGAAAGTGAATTGACATACTTTCATGTTTGAGTTCGAGACCTGTTCATCATCTGTGCCCTGAATAGTTGTTCGGTCGTTAACTGTGAATCTCTGCGAATTGCCTTGGTCTAGTCCCTGTTTAATTGAATTACATCATCGTTTACATTCGTTACCTGCTACTAAAACCAATCATCTTTGTCTTAGCTCTGTTTTAAATCTCGTAGTTTCACAGTGTAACGCTGGTCCTCTGGATTTCGAATCCTTTATATTACAATCTTCATCACTGATAATTTGCAGTAGAGAAAAGGACCTATTTCTGGTTTATCATACCACCCCCAAACTAGTGGACAAGTTGAGATCTCAAACAGAGAACTCAAGAGCATACTTCAGAAGACAACAGGCAAGACAAGAAAGGATTGGAGTGCCAAACTAGATGATGCTCTATGGGCATACCGCACTGCCTTCAAAACACCACTTGGTACCACCCCCTTTCATCTTGTTTATGGTAAAGCATGTCATTTACCAGTGGAGCTTGAGTACAAAGCAGCTTGGGCTATTAAGGAGTTGAACTTCAACCTAAAGACAGCAGGAGAAAGAAGATTGATTCAGCTGAATGAGCTTGATGAGATTAGGCATCTGGCTTATGAGAATTCAAAGATCTATAAGGAGAGAACCAAAGCTTTCCATGACCGCAAGATCATCCCAAAGAACTTTGCGCCAAACGACCAAGTTCTACTATTCAACTCAAGGTTGAAACTCTTTCCAGGAAAGCTTCGCTCAAGATGGTCAGGACCATTCAGGATTAAAGAAGTTCGCCCCTATGGAGCAGTGGTACTATGGGACCCAATGGGAGGAGACTTTACAGTCAATGGACAAAGGTTAAAACCCTACCTAGCCTCCACCACCATACCACAGGAGACCACACTGGCTCTTGGCGATCCACCAGATCCTTAAGGAAGTGCCATACAGTCAAGCTAATGACTTTAAACAAAGCGCTGAATGGGAGGCAACCCATTGAAGGTCATTTCTTTTCATTTTCTTTCTTTATTTTCTTTTATTTTGAATATTACCTCTCACCTTAATGTGATTTGCTTTCACCGGGACGGTGCAAGTTAAGTCTGGGGGGAGTTTTATTGTGTTACTAATGCATTTTTCTTTCTTTTCTTATGTTTTATTCATTTTGTTTCATGTTTTTCAAAAAGTTTTATTGAGTCAAAAACCAGTCCGGAAGTTATGAACTTGCTTTGAGAATTGAGAGTGTTATGCTAACAATCCATGACCCTAGAGCAGAAACCAGCTAAAGGCACAAGCCTAACAGAAGCTCTTACAGTGGATCGACATGCTAGCTCAGCAAAATTTCTAAGGTAACCAAGCAATCTAGAGTTAACCTCACCCTTAATCAATCTTAATACTCTTGTCAAGGGGGTTGGCATACATGTCGACAGTTCCTTGCTTGATTTCAAAAAGATTTGTCAAACCTTGGAGGCTATAGGATCATTGCCCAAACTAATCCATCCAACCCCTTAGACCTCTATGTCTAGAGCAAGAGATATTGGAGCTCTTAGTGGATCTTTTCCAGCGAATGCCATCACTTTCGTGTGGGGAGTCGCCTAAGGACTTACAAGCCAGGGGTAGTGGTCATGTAGCCTTAAGATCTATCCAAAAGAGAGAGAATCTAGATTAAGACCATAAGCTAGAAGGATTAAGCATATGAAACCTCTAATCTATCCCATCTCAAACCCCAATGGGTAACTACTCACTACACATGAATGTAAACACAAGCAAATGCAATAAAAGAGACATCATAAGAAAGAGGAGATGAAATAAACAACTTTTATTGAAATAAGCAAGTGCAAATACAAGAGAGATTATCCAGGATCTAGGATTCAAGAAGCAAGAGCTTCAAGAACACAAAGATGGGATTAGATCTCTAAAAAGTAAAAGACAATAAATTAAAAGAAACTAAAACAAAATAATCTAAAGCTTGGTGGTTTTTTCGTGGCTTAGAGCCTTTAAATACAAGAGGATTAGGTTTAGGGTCAAAGGAAAGTCAAGGGGGAAGCAACATTTTTCGGGTTTGACTGTTGACTTCTCAGCTCGATCGAGTTGAAGCTTGGCCGGTCGAGTTGAGGAACTCGACCGGTTGGTCGAGTAGACGGTCGAGCTGGTCTTCAAGATGGCTTCTCCCTTCTTCCTTTGCGTATCCAGTTGAGCTGCTTCCATGTGCCAAGTCCCTCCATGCTCCTCGTCCCATATGCTCCAGAATGCTCCAAAAGACCTATTTCAAAGGACCAAACATGCATATGTATGCAAATGCAACCTAAAACTAACATGAATGCATAAGAAGAGAAAAGGAACAAGATATGATGCAAATGGAAGCTAAAACTATGCAAAAGATGCATAAAAGATGTGCTAAAACTATGTAAAATGCAAGTACATCAACACCCCCAAACTTGAACTTTGCTTGCCCTCAAGCAAACAAATAGAACAAGAAAGAGATGAGGTTTGAAAAAGCTGATTCAACACTTAAAAACATGTCCTCAAAAGCGATTTGCTAAATGTCCAACTTAGAGATTCTAGAATGCAACAAGGTGAGAGATATTCATTAAGATTTAACCATGCTTATCAACATCAATCCCACTTCACAGTCACTCAAACAATGCATTCAAATCAGCAAATCCCTTTAACATTCATTAAGCAAAAACAGTGAACCAAAAACATGCAAGATCAATCAACTCATTTGGTTTCAAGGGTTTATGGGTTAAGAGACAAAGAGGGTCTCTTTTGTATGGTGGTTTAGTAACAGGGATCTCTCAAGAAAGTGGCTTTGCTTTGGCAGAAGGCTAAGTGTTAGAACCAAAGATGATGCAAGAACAGCAGCTCGAGCCGCCTAATCCTAACTCGATCGAGTTCAACACTTAGAGCTTTTTAGAACAAAATCCTAACTACCCTTTTTGGCATTTCGCCTTTGAAACTGAGGAGCTTTGCTCACTTTTCTTTTAAGAACATCCTAGGGAGAGGCTTCTTGAGGTAACATCTAGCGGTTTGGGATTTTCTAAACACTTAGGGAACTTTTCTTTCCTTTTTGACACTTGAGGCTTTGCCTTCTTTTCATTCTACTTAGAACCCTTTTTACTTCCTTTTTTAACTTCCCAAACCTTTACTAGACCCTTTTTAACACTGCCAACTCCCTGGACTAAACTCTTTTTCCTTTGGGTTTTTCCCAATTTTACCACTTTTCTGGTTTTTACACCCAACTCGATCGAGCTCGAGTTGGCACCCCCAAACTTAGCCTGAAAACAATCCCAAGAGAACTAGACAACTAGAACTACTGCCCCTGCCGGTTTAAACACAACACCTTATGCTAAGCAAAGCCAAGAAAGGTTCTCACATTCGCACAAGAGATAATATGGGGTTTGAAATGAAAAAGGCTTAGGTTTAAGGTGTGGTAACTGTCTCAAAGATAGAGATCAGCTATCTGGACAAGCAAAAGGGATATGAAAATAGGTAAAGAATGTCCAGATATGTATGTGGTAGCCATGAGTTGAAATCAAATGCAAGCATTGGTAATTAAAGATCAAGTTATGGTTCAAATAGATAGGGAAATGCATCAAATCACAGCAATGGTTGAATGAGATGTGCATGCAGTGATATGATCAAGATAAACATGGTTCTTGCTGCTCAATCAATCTCACCCTAATGCACAAAAGAATCTAAAAACAGGGCACTCAAGAAATCGCAAAAGATGGACAAGTTTTCAAAGTCAAATCAACAATGCAAGTGAAAAATGCAATCCTAAACAAGTCTAACAAATATGAATGCAAAAAGATGAAAATATTTTTGGATTTTTTGAAAATTTTATGATTTTTTTGGTTTTTCTATGCAAAAGATAAATGAAAAACTAAGAACAAAGAAAACAAGGTTAAATCATCTCTTGAACCCTCCCCCAAACTTAAATCACACAGTCCCTTGAGCAATCTGCTAAGACTTTGGATCAACGAAACTTCCGTCAGGCAGTGTATGTGTCCTTATGAACACTTCTCCGATTGACACCGGTCTTCCAAGCTCTTTTTCCTTCATCACATATAAAAATTTCATAGAAAAAGATCAAATTACAAATTAAATGAAACCGTCTCAAATACTAACAAACTGAAACATTACCAAACTAATGCCTTTTTGTCAAACCAAAACTAACAATCCTAAGCAATGACAATGATACTAGGTCCATTCAATCTCGCTTCACCATATAGAGACCATAATGAAAACAAATTAAGATATATTTCACACAAGCAAAACATTTCACCACAAGAACCTAAGCCACAAAAATAACAAACAAAAGATGAAAGACAAGCATCAAAAAGGAGAACTTACCATATCTCTCTGAATGCGTGAATAGGACTTTTGTCCTGACCGATGTATGCGCTTGCCAAGTCCATCTTTCGGAAATTTGATTGCATTTGATGCAGTAGAACTTCTCGCTTTGGCCTCCTCGGTGGACCAGTAAGCGCACATACTCTCCCACAATGTTTCCCCAATCCAACTTGGTCGAACCCGTTTTGTCCTTGCTTTGGAGACCATGTCTTTCATCCGATTCAATGCAATGCCTTGAATTCGTCTTCCACGAGTGAATGGACCAAGGGATCCCAATGGTATGCTTGCTTCACAAATGAAACAACATATAATGAAATTAACAAAAAAAAAACTAGTTGATTAAGACAAAAATGGAAATATTTAGGGAAATGATTGGGTTTAGTTTCATACCGCAAAGGCTATGAAACACCTATCTTGAACATATGGAGGCGTTTTTGTCCAGCAGTAGTATGGACCATCAAACTTGCTTTTCAAAATCTTGGATATTTTGCGAACCAATTTGCCATCATCCCGATCAAACCTACAATATGAGATTAAAACACAAAGCCATTTCAATTGTATGATGAGAAGAACACACAATCAAGCAAAGAAATTTATAAAAGAAAACTAATTAGGGATTACCATATTGTGTTTGCGGTGGGAAGAGGGTCCAAGATGGGTAAATAGTCAGTACGACCTGGTGTTTGCAGCAAGTCGTGGATACTCATCGGTGGATCTTGATGCGGTGGTGGTTGAGCCTGTTCCGGGAATTGATCCTCCATTGGTTCAGCGTCTGTCTCTGGACCTTCCGGCGGTGGATTGTACGGTGGTGGAGTCCACTGTGGTGGAACGTACGGCGGTGGACGAAGCGGTTGGGGACGGATCGGCTGTGGGTGTGAAGCAGAGCCACGCGGCGACGCCTGTGGAGCAAGAGTCGAGCCACGCGGTGGGATTGTCTCCGGAATAGGGCTCTGACTATGAGCGTATTGAATAGGCAGGGGACGGCGATTTGAAGTCGGGGTACTACTGTTTGAGGTGTGAGATGAAGCTCTTCCAGACGATGACCCCATCCCACCGCTTATGCCGCCACGACCCTTTTGAGATTTACCGGAGCCGGCCATTGAGGAGAGAACGAGAGATTTGTCGAATTCGGGGAAAAAAACGAGAAATTGGAAAAGTGAAAGGTAGAGATTTAGAGGGTGATATCGATCGAGAGAGGTTTAGGAGAGATCGAGAGGACAGAGGGAAAGCAAGGAGATGGAGATACAAAACGGATCGATCGAGAAGCTGAAAAGCAGTCGAATTTTTGACATGCAACAGATCGATTTCGAGAGCGAGAGAGAGAGAGAAGTGAAAAGGGTTTTGTGAGATAGAGGAAAAAAAAAATTGGGGGTTTGAGGCGGAAAATTGGAAATAATTGGGGAATTTTCGGAAATATTAAGCGCCAACTTAAGTGACGACTTTGCGACTAAAGACGGAAAAAAAGAATTAAAGTCGCAAATCAGTCGCAAAGTGCTAAAACTTTGTGACTTATTAGCGACTAAATAATGAGAATTGTGCAATATCATATTCAAAACCCTAAACCTAGCATAATTTCAACAAATTTTGATTTCTTTGTAGTAGTTAAACAAGTATTGTAGTATTAGCATCTTATTTTACAAAAACTTAATAACATAAACCTTTAAGACATGAAAAAATGAACTGAAGTCGCAACTCAGTCGCAGAGTGATAAAACTTTGTGACTCTTTTGCGACTAATGACGGATTTTTTTAATATATTTTTTTGAGTCGCAAATCAGTCGCAAAAGTGCTACGAATTAGCGACTACTTTGAGTTATTTATTATGAATTTGGTTTTCCTAAACCCTAAATAACCCCTAAATGATATATTTGCTATATTTAGTTGCACAATATGTGTAATCTATGAATAATTGAGTACAAATTAAATTATTGAAATACTTAAAACAAGATTCCAATAACTTAGAACCAAATCAATATGATTTTAAGATAAACAATGAGAATTGTGCAATATCATATTCAAAACCCTAAACCTAGCATAATTTCAACAAATTTTGATTTCTTTGTAGTAGTTAAACAAGTATTGTAGTATTAGCATCTTATTTTACAAAAACTTAATAACATAAACCTTTAAGACATGAAAAAATGAACTGAAGTCGCAACTCAGTCGCAAAGTGATAAAACTTTGTGACTCTTTTGCGACTAATGACGGATTTTTTTAATATATTTTCTTCTTGAGTCGCAAATCAGTCGCAAAAATACTACGAATTAGCGACTATTTGAGTTATTTATTATGAATTGTTTGCGATTGTAGGTAGTCATTATTTATGAAATTTTAATCACACATACAGTAAAATAATTATATAAAAAGCATTATTAGTATGTGTGATCTACATCTTCATCCTCATCCCCATCCTCATCATATTCATCTTCATCCGAAGATGATATGTTACACTGAAATTCATCTTCTCCTTGGGCATCTCCGACATCAAAATCAATTTCTTCTGTTGGATGTTCTCTGATCACCAGACTATCTATTATGATATCTTCGTTTGTTGTCGACACATCGTCGTCATTTTCTTGTTGAAGAAGAGTTGGTTCTTTATCCTTGTAATTCCCCAAAATATTTGCCCTTGGATTAACTTTAAGAACATTTAGCCAGCACTTTCTTGGTTTACTAACGTACGGATACGGGATGTAACAAACTTGGTCCGCCTGAGAAGCTGCATGTACGCAAATTCAAACGAAATGGTTATAAGTAAGTGAATTCAATTTCGATGTTTTCTTGTAGTGAGTAAAGGTGAAAACAAATTTAAAATCATGCAAAATAAAATTCATACACCTACCAAGAATGAATGGTTCGTATTTACGATATTTTCCTGAGGAAAGAACATCGACAACGCCACCCTTGCTCTTTCGAGTGCCTTTTTTGTCTGTAGGATCGTACCACTCGCATTTAAAAAGTGTGATCTTCAAAGATACCAACCCCATATATTGAAGCTCTAGAATCTCTATTAAATTTCCGTAAAAATCAGATTCGTCAGAGGCATCTGAATAATTTACTCCTTTGACATATACCCCGTAGTTGTATGTTCTTTTTCGGTGTCCGTATTTCCGTGTATGAAACAAATAACCTCTTGTAAAGTAAATGGGCCAGAGTTTTGCTTGGTTTATAGGACCTTGCACAAGCTCTTGAACCCATACAGGAAACACTTCGGATTGATTCAATGTTCTTGAACGAACCTGCGATCACAATACAAGTAGATAAAGTGTTATATAGATAATTAAGTACATATATATATAGTTTTATATGTAGACGTAAATATAATTGTAAGTATATATATTAACAGCTTTAATTATACTTACATAATCTCTAACCCATATAGGAAATTGTTCGTCTCTTTTTATTAATACATCACTGTCACATAGTTCGGGATATGTAAAACGAATCTGCTCTTCAAACAAACTGATGATCATCAACACACGAAAATAAACGTATGTTAACATAAAGATATTCAGTCAATATTATATATCACTGAAAACGTCAATTACCTTTCAAGAGGTCGAAAATATTCACAGTTTCGCAAGATGTAGCCATGCGCGCATTGATAATCTTTCTCTGATAGCCAAATTTCTTTAACTTTTCCACTGGGTCGACCAACATGAGTAAATATATCGGGCACATCAGGAACTGGATATTTAGGAACTTCACCTTCATCGAATCTACTGGATCTAAACAAATAACATTAATTAATTAATTGAAAACTATAAGCAACAAATATTTTTATATATCATTAATAAGTAATATCTGTTACATACCTTTTTTTTGTACGTATATGTGCGGCAAAGTAGTGCTCTGTAAAATAAGAAATCTCATCATTCAGATAGGACTGAACAATCGATCCCGCCGCATACCTTTTGTTCTTCGCCTTGGCTTTCAATTTTTTGAAAAACCTTTCAAATTGATACATCCATCTATATTGTACCGGACCCCCTAGTTCAGCTTCATACGGGAGATGTACAGGCAGGTGCTCCATCACATCGAGAAAAGCTGGTGGAAATATCATTTCCAAATTACATATATCCATCACTATGTTTTCCTTTAGCACTTGAACACGGCTTTGTTGTAAAGTTCTAGAGCATAAGTCACGGAAAAATCTTCCAATCCCTACAAAGAACAAATATAAAATTGTTATACATCATAAAGGTAATTAATAATAGAAAAATATATAACAATATAAAATATTGTGTTAGAAGTACCTGATAGTGAAAAGTGAACGGGCTTCGGTAAAAGTTCTTTAAAGATAAATGGAAGTAGTCGTTCCATAAAAACATGGCAATCATGACTCTTCATGCCGGAAAATTTCCCTCCTTGTAAATTTAACATCGTTTTTTACACATTTCAGAAGCGCTTCTTTCGCTGGCTGAGTCAATCTGAAATTAGGAAATGGAGCTTTGCCTTGATTGTCCACATGTACCTCTTTCCTGTCGCAAAAACGTGCGACATCTAACCTTGACTTAACCGTGTCCTTCGATCTGTCTTTAACATTCATAATGGTATTCATGATGTTATCAAAAAAATTCTTCTCTATATGCATCACATCAAGATTATGCCGTAGATTGAGGTCTGTCCAATACGGCAATTCCCAAAATATACTTTCTTTGTGCCAATTATGCCAATCTCCGTATCCTCGTTGTTTTACTTCATGACCATTTCCACCGCAATCTGATGTTTTCAGCGGATTAACTTGTCTTATTCGCTCATACAAAACTTGCTCACCGGTAAGAGATTGAGGCGGATAGTCTCTTATAGCATGTTTTCCCTTCAAAAAACTTGTTTTGTTTTTCCTTAACTGATGACCATGCGGAAGATACCTCCTGTGACAATCAAACCAACACGTCTTCCTTCCATTTGGCAGTTGAAAAGCCTTTGTATCCTCCATGCAAATTGGGCAAGCTAATCTACCATGTGTCGTCCATCCTGACAACATGCCATAAGCTGGAAAATCGCTGATTGTCCATAGCAGCACTGCTTTTAGATTAAAATTTTTATTCAGGGATATATCATAAGCCTCGACTCCTGTAGACCACAATTCTTTTAACTCTTCAATCAAAGGTCGGAGGAAGACATCAAGACTAGCCCGCGGATGTTTTGGCCCAGAGTTCAAAATTGTAAGAAATAAGAACTCTGTCTTCATACACATACCAGGGGGTAAGTTATAAGGAGTCAAGATCACAGGCCATAACGAATGATTACGGGACATGCCAAATGGATTAAATCCATCTGTACATAATCCAAGGTAAACATTTCGGGGTTCCTCGGCGAAGCGAGGATGTAGTTGTTGAAAATTTTGCCACTCAGCCGCATCTGAAGGATGACACATTCTCCTTCCGCTGATTCATGCTCAGCATGCCATCTCATTGCTGATGCAGTCTTCTCGCTCTGGTACAAACGCTTCAGTCTGTCGCCAATAGGTAAATACCACATACGGCTGTATGGTATTTTGGTTCGTCCATCGCTGGGCTTATATCTTGGTGTTCCGCAAAATTTACATGCATCCCACTTTTCATCTTCTCTCCAGAAGATCATACAATTCTCAATACACACGTCAATTGTATGATATGGGAGGGCTAGATTCCGCATCAATTTTTCCATCTCATAATATGACTCAGTTGCGTGGTTTTCATCAGGCAATAACTCTGTTATGAGTTCTGCCCATTGATCCACACCCCTTTCAGTCATATTATTATCGGCATGAAGGTTCATGTACCGAGATGCTAGAAATAATTGCGAGTGGCCTTCATGACAACCATCATACAATGGAGTTTTTGCAGCATCTAACATGTCGTAGAATTTTTTGGCCTCACTATTTGGTTCTTCTGCATTTTGATTACCCTGATCCTCTTGATAATAATTATCAATATTGGAGGTATCAGGAAATGCATCATTCACCATTTGGACATATCTATCTTCCACATTATCGTCTTCTACGTTAGCATCTTCTGCTTGATTACTACTACTAAAACTTGTATCAACATGACTTGTTCCTAAATCGACATCCAGTTCTTCCCCATGCATATACCATATATAATAATTTTCCATAAATCCTCTACTATACAGATGGTTCCAAATTTTACGCCCCGTAAGAAATTTATCATTATGACAAGTTATACAAGGGCAATAAAACTTACCACCACTGCTAAGCGCTAATGGCTGACTGCTTGCAAAATTCATGAATTCTTCTACTCCTGAAGCGAACTCGGCCAAAATATTTCCCGTACGCTCTTCAATTCTATTATACATCCACTCTCTAGAATTATGAAAATTATAATTTCCCACCATTTTTTTTGAATGATTTGTTTCTCTCTACAAATCAAGTTGAAATTGTTTTCTGAATTATATTTGAGAAGAAAGATTGTATGGTTTTCTGAATTTGAGAAGAAAGATCGTATGGTATATATACAGTTATTTGCTACTACTTTGTGACTACATAGTTACTTATTTGCGACTACAAATTTAGTCGCTCTAAAAAATTAGGTACACCAACCTAACAGCTTACACACGAAAGACATGTGCTTAAATTATATAGACACTAATTTGACACTATCTTGAGACAACAATACGTAGTCGCAAACAAGTAGCAACTGAGTCTTAAATTAGTCGCAAATAAGTAACAATATTTAGCGACTCAGTTTTGAGTCGCAAAATGTAGTGGCTAAATCGATGTTTTCTTGTAGTGTCTCTATAGTTGCTCATTGTTCCATTTACTAGTTGTTCTTGTTTCAATTTGGTTGATTATCATCTTTTCCAGCTTTTAATCTTGAATTAGGTTTGGTTATACTCTGTTTTCACCCAACTCGATCGAGTTTGTCACTCGAGTTTTTTGACTCGATCGAGTTGGGTGTCGAGTTGACCAAACCGATCATTACAACTCTAATTCTTTGTAATCTTGGGCTTGATTAAAGTCCTCAATGTCTCTAAACCCCATTCCCCCTAAACGTTTAGGCAAGCACATTTTCTCCCAACTAATCCAATGGATTTTTCTTTTCTTCTCCACTGCACTCCACCAGAAATCCGCCATAGCACTTTTCAGATTGGCACAAATTGCTTTTGGTAGTTTGAAACATGACATTGCATAAACCGGCATAGCAGAAATAACTGATTTAAGCAGAATCTCTTTACCTCCTTGAGATAAAGTTCTGGAGAACCAGGTAGAGGTCCGTTTCTGCACTCCTTCTTTGATGTAACTCAATAACTCAATCTTGGATCCACTGAAACACTCAGGCAACCCAAGATAAGTTCCAGCTCCGCCTTCTTTTGAAATCCCCAACTCAGCTTGAATCCTCTTTTTTTGAGCCTCCCCAATCTTAGACCCAAAGGTGATAGATGATTTGGATGGGTTCACTGTCTGACCTGTCGCTTCACCATAGATTCTGAGAATCCCTTTCAATGCATAGCTTTGATGATCGGTTGCCTTGCAAAGAAAGAGACTGTCATCAGCGAATAACAAGTGGTGTATGGATGGACCTTCTTGAGAAAAGCTCATCCCTGTTATCAAATCCAATCTTTCAGCTCTATTCAGTAAGTGAGTCAAACCCTCGGTACACAAAACAAAGAGAAAAGGAGAGAAGCTTATCCCTGTTATCAAATCCAATCTTTCATCTCCTTTTGCTGCCTCTGATTTTTAAGCCACCCCATTCTCATCCAAGAGGAAATCCAACCCTTTTTTGTTTCTCTCACATCTGACTGAATCATGAAAGAACTTGGAGTTCCGATCCCCTGATCTTAACCACTTCTGTCTACTCTTTTGTTTCCAGAACAACTCATCTTCTCTGTAAGCCAATGCTAACTCCCTTTTGAGATACCAGAGTCTTTGTGTGCTTGGACAGAAAACTGATTGCTCTTCTTCCAAATTCAGTTCCAACTGATGAATCCTGTCCCTGGCATTCATATTATTGTTTTTCTTCCATTTCCTCAAAGTCTTCCTGCAATTTCTCAGCCGATCAGACACAGAACTCTCACTTGATCGACAACTCCTATTCCATGTGACTGAGATAGACTCCTTTACCTTAGGCTGGTAAAGAAACCTTTTGTCGAATTTAAAGTGTCCTGTATAGGAGTCTGTAGAAGCTAAGAGACTCACCAAGACAGGTCTATGATCAGATCCTCTTTTATCCAAAAAAACCTGATTTGACGCAGGGAACATGAGATACCATTCCTTATTTCCAAAACAACGGTCTAGTCTGCTCTGTATCCACCACGAATGACGTCTTCCCCCCATGTGAACATATTCCCTTTACTTGACAGCTCAATCATGTCACACTCAGCCAACATCTTCACAAAGGGTTCAAAGGAGCTCATGCTTCTTCTCGGCCCACCCAACTTTTCTCCATTGTGAATGATCTCGTTGAAATCACCCACCATACACCAACTCGCCTTCCTAGTTATTCCAATACTTAACAGCTGATCCCACACAGCCGCTCTGTTGCTTTTATCAGGCGCTCCATACACACAAGAAACAAAGAAGGAAAAATCTCCAAACTGTACATGAATATCCATCAGATTTTTATTCACCGACAACAACTCAATATCCACACCTTTTTTACAAAACAGCGCAAGCCCTCCACACGTACCTACTGGCTCCACTGCATGCACTCTCTCGTAACCCAACCACACTTGCAAATCAACCAACACATCTCTACAATTCATCGTCTCCATTAAGAACATCACCTCCGGGAAGTGCTTTTTCCGCAGCTCCTTGAGGCGCGGAATTACCAAGTCTTGAGGCCGCCCACTCCTTGACATTTCCAGGACAGAATGCTCATTAAATATTGGGCGATCCCTCCTTTGGGATCACCTTCTGGTTTTTACGCCTTGCGTATTGAACTTTTGAGTCAGACTCTGTTGCTGTTTTTCTCTTTGGAGCCATAACTCCTTTGCCGTTCTTCTTAATCTCCGTGATTGGGGCCAGACAAAGCTCTGTTTTTGGTTTGCCAATCCTCAATCTTTTCACTTGTCGCTTCCTTGGCATGGACAAAATGCTTGAGTCTTTAACAATAACAAAAATTACAAAATGGAACGTTTTAGGCATGGACCAGATGTGACCTGTCACAATCTCTTACTCTTCTAATAAGGATTATATATCTTCTGACCTTTTTATTGAATGTTAAATTTATTCAACCCAAAAGAACATGACTTTTTACAGAGTGGTGATTGACCGTTTGTTTAAATAGGAAACAGCGTTACATAAAAAAACAAAGCTGCTTCTTATGAGGCTACTCTCTTGCAGTAAGCTTTGTTCTGGCTCTCAACTGCTCTTCTCTTGTAGGTTTTTGTAAAGAATAACTCTTAGCCCATTTGTTTCCAGTCGATTTCTAGCTTATTCTAAGGCTCTTGCTTGTTCAATAGCTCTCTTTCCTTCCTCCTCGGCCCATGATCTGAACAAAACACCAAATGATAAATAAGCCACTCGATATACGGTGACGGAATAATCGTTTGCAAAATGACTGATTTAGAGCTTTATAATAAATGAGTGAATGCAAGGAAATGATGATGAAAGATATTCACGTATACTACGTGGCCAAGAGTAATGGAGATGAAAATCCCGTCTGGTTTCAAAACCCGGTGAACTCCTTTGAGAGTTGCCATGACTTTGCTGATTTAATGTTTCTTGGCGGGTTTCTATGGATCCACAACCAGTACATCCTTCTCACCAAATTGATTACAAAAAGGAGCAACTCATGAGCTTTCTCTAGTTAAAATTTAAGAATTGAAATCAAACCACATCGACATATAGTTAAGTTACAGGTTTTTACCATAGTCCCTTTCTCAATAACCACATCAAAACTCTCGCTGCAGCAACGGTCCAGATGAGACGCTGGAAATTAGAGTATTCCTTGAACCATTCATAGTGTTCCTCTGAAGAAAACATCTCGTCCCTGCATTTTTAGGCGCATTAAGTTACAATCAACAGAGAGAGAGAGAGAGGAAGACAGATTGTTCTAGCTGAATGAAATTCCTACCTGGTGTGAGAATCGAGATGGGTCAGAGCAAAAGGAGGACCGACGGAATTCGTTTCCTGGTTAAAAATTGGATCCGAATTACGATTGGGCGGATCTAAATTCCATCCTAAGACCTTTACGATGGTCTGGTTACATTCTTCTCCAAAACACTACCTGCAAAACTTATTCAAAAACCAAATAAAAGGCCACTATAATTATCCAATACAGCAATGAGATTTGAGAATTATAACTGAACAGGCAAAGAAGCATTGTGAAGAGACCACGTATCCTCCATCATTCCATATCTGCTGTAATATATAATTAAAAACCTCTGTTCTTGTTAGCTCAAAAACATTCTTTTAAAAAGCAGCTTATATTTAGAGATCAAACCCGATTACGAAGATGTTTCTTTGCCTTTTTTAAATTCCCCATTCTTAGTTTGTGGTCCACGTAATTTATTTTTCGAGATATTACGTACCTTTTTTTATGGAGTAATCTTTACGGCCAGTTAAATATTTCCTATTCCGAGATAACCGTGATCCTATTGTGTTTAATCAGCACCGGTTTAGTTGATTTTCGTGTGGTTCAATTTCAATAGATTTTTGGATCCGCGTGTTTTGAAATGGATCCGGGTCGGGTCGACTCGTACCCAACTGAGTCAGCTCATTTTTTCTCCGAATTTTCTCCTGAAAAACTCTTTGTTTATCCCTGTTTCCGAACATTCTTTCTTTGTTATCTGTTTGGTTTTTAGGTAAATTACTCAATTTGGCTCCGAATTTTTTCAGACTAGAATACCCTTTATGACTCAGTTTTAATAGTATTGATGGATATGAACTCCATGAGAATCTATACTTGAGTTTGGGATAAAAATGAATCATTCATAATGAATATAACATAGATTATATGTTTTAGATTAAGTTGTAGAGAGACTTAAGGAAGGAGATGAGAAAATTATAAGTACATATCCGATGAAGGTAAGACTCCACACGGGTTTTAAAAGTTTAATAAAATGTTTATAATGAATCATATATGCTTATAACTTCTTCTGTACTCTGCACCTTCACTTGATTCTTGCATCTTCCATTTGATTGGCCATCCTACATATAACAAATAAGAAATTAATCATAGTTTGCTATCAATGAAATATTATGATTTAAACTCTTCATATATAAACCTTTTCTGGGCTTTTACTACCTATCTTTCATCAATTACACCTCAGGAATATTTGGATCAAACCAAAACCTAGACAATCCTCTGCCATCAACAATCAAGATGTCCCCTATTTTTTGCATCTATGTTAGTTCAGATATCAATATGTAAATAAATCAGATGGACCAACAAAATAACGTAATAGACAAATAACATTCACCATCGATTCCAAACTCTCCATTCACTTAGAACGCAAACAATGTTGTCAGATTCATTGTCTTTCCATTTCTTGTACATATCCACAGCTAAATCTCCATGAGCAATGCAATAAAGTTCCTCGTTCCTTCTTGATAGACAAATATTAGAATATAATTCCTGTCTACACACTCATATAGTTTAAATTTTAGCAATACCTTTCATTCTTCAAGTGAAAGGGAATTGATCTTTCCTCAGCGTCCTTGTTTGGTGGTGAAAGTTTACCCATGTATCCAATCACTCCAATAAAATCTGCAAGAAAGGTAAAATACTCTATATTATTTCAACGAACTAATAAACGATGTTATTTTTAATCTATGATTATAAATCACAAATAAATTATGTAACCAATCTAGATTAACCATACCAATTGGATTTGCAATATTGTGTCTGCCAGAGATGACTCTTTCAAATCCGCAAATTCGAAAAAATGTCTGTTTGAAAGAGGAAAAAGAGGCGTAACTTCTGTTTCACGCCTTAGAACGATCATGAAATCATGAGCTGTAACCATAAACTTGTTGTCTAACCAATTATCACTTGAGACGATAAATTTGGTAATTTCCCACCATTCTCCTTCTGGTAAGGCCATGCGATAACTCTGGAAGATAAATATTATAAACTTATATATAGATATTTACATATAATATAAGGAAGGGTTATTACGTTTAAGCATAGTTCATATATATCGTTTTCTATTTTTTGTTGGATCTAATGTTTACGAATTATCTAGAAGATAAATATGTATATATATATATATGGGAACGGTGCTGGATCATTCATTCATCATCTGTTATTTTTATCTAGGGTTTCTTTACGCTACCCAAGGATGCAAGTACTACCTTTTCATCTCCCAGGCGACAACCTTATTATATTTCAGGCCGACGACCCGGAACTTGTGAAACATCCTGCAAAGAACAAATTTACCTCTTGGATGGATTGCAACGCATCAAACCCCAAAGCAAGAACACTCCTCTACACAGAGTTTCCGTCGCGATGGGTTTGGTCAGAACAGAAAAAAAGCATGGAAACCCAAGCTAAGGCAAAGCAAGGCATCAGAAAATGTGGTTCTTCCGCACGTAACACCACGTTGTGGAGAGTCTTATTATCTAAGGATATTGCTAGGAGTTGTTAGGGATCCGGTTAGTTTTGAGGATATAAGGACCGTGGGGGGTGTTGTTCATCACAGCTTCAAAGATGCGTGTTTTGCATTCGGTCTGGCTCAGAACGAAGATGATGCAAATTAGAAGCTGACGATAGTATCGATAGTCACTATATTTATCTTTTTTTGTATCGTTTACTTTACTGTTTTGGTTTCGTTATGCAATTAGAGTGTCAAACAGAATGCGATTTGTTTTTATCTGTCATCTTTTATTTATATCTACACTAATCCGTTAATGGCGCAAGATTAATGATACAAAAGTTGATCTTCTGGTTTTATAATTTTATAGGTCCATTAATTTTAAATTCGATATATATAAGACGAACCCCAAATTATTTGAACAATGCAGAATCAAACGTATATAGTGTTGCAGCAACAAAGTAGCGTAAAAACCAAGCTATTCGATCTTCCGGGACCAGAAGAGCTTAGAGACGAATCTAGCTTGAACTCAAAAGAGATTGCAAGAGATATCGATTTATAAAGTGAAGTTCTCTTAAGTTTATTAAAATCAAAGCTGCCTTACAATGGATCTTTAGTTTAACTATATATAATAAAAGAAGAGGTGTAACACCTTAACCCTAGCCTCCTCAAACCTAAAGAAATAAGTAAAACTCAAAAGAAATGGAAACATTACGAAAAGGAAACCGAGAGAAAAGTAAATAACTTGCGGCATACGTAAATGATTAAAGATGTGCTACATCAGGTTGCCCCATGTGACGAAAAATTTGACCCCGAATTTGTAGTGTCATCGGCTGGAAGGTAAGGAACCAAATGCTTAACATTAAACTCGTCCGCCGTATGCATGTGTGGAGGAAGACGTAGTCGATAAGCATTATTATTGATCTTCTACAAGATTTCAAGTGGTCCAACTTTGCGAGATTTGAGCTTGTTATACTGTCCCTGCGGGAAACGATCCTTAGTCAAAACAGCTCACACAAGATCACCAACATTGAATTGGACCTCTCGACGATAAACATCAACAGCAGCCTTATACTTCTCCGTAGATTTCTCCAAATTCTCTTTCACTTGATGATGCAAACTCGAGATCTCTTCAACCGTCCACGGGCCGAGATGGGCCTGCGGGCTCTGAGAGAGGGCGTGGGTGACTCACCGGGAGGGGCGGTCGGGGTTATAATTTGGTATCAGAGCCAAACCCAGACGAGAGTGTGGAGTCAAGTTGAAGTGGCCTTGACTCACACCGTCAGGGGGTGACGATCCAGGTGCGCAACGAGGACGTTGCGCATAGTGAGTGGGGGTGAGTTGTAACATCCCGGTTTGTGATAAATGAGGAGAGGCTTAAGAGAATTGATTTGGCTACCTATGTCAACAAAGTGCACTTACCTTTTCGGTCAAAGGTCTATAAGTAACTCCAGAGTTAAGCGTGCTTGGGCTGGAGTAGTTGAAGGATGGGTGACCTTCGGGAAGTGGTTTCCGAAACCGTGTGAGTGAGGCCAAAACACGGGGAAAGGTCGGGTGTTGATTGCAGGGATAGTAAACAAGTCATTAGAGCCTCTCAAAAATAACGGACCGGCCGTCGGACAGGGGTGAGGCCCACGGGCCGAGATGGGCCTGCGGGCCCAGAGAGAGGGCGTGGGTGACTCACCGGGAAGGACGGTCGGGGCGTTATAAACCGTATCACAAGCACGAGTGTGAAAGCGAGTTCGGTCTGGTGGCAAAGACAAATCCACAAGAGCACGAGGAGTCACGCCATAAATGACACGGAAAGGACTCATACTTGTATTGCAATTCACGGCATGATTGTGAGCAAATTCAGCTTGAGAAATCACCTTGTCCCATGTACGGATGTTATCACCAACCAAGCAACAAAGTAAATCACCTAACGCACGGTTAGTCACCTCCATTTGTCCATCCGTTTGAGGATGATAAGCCGAACTCATATCCAAAGAGGTCTTTAATAAACGCCACAATGATCGCCAAAAATGACCCAAAAATCTCGAATCCAAAAGAACGCCTTCATTAGCATTGATCCAAAGCTTACCGAAAAACGGATCAAGTGAATACAACTCAGGGAGAGTTTCAAAACCCGGAACTGAAACATGTAAGGTTGAGAGGAGAGCATGTCGGCGACTAAGAGCATCCGCAACCTTGTTGAGAGACCTGGCTTTGTGCTTAATCACAAACGTAAACTGTTGGAGATATAAGAACAAAGAAGCATGGCGCGACGAAACCTTATCTTGAGAACTCATATGTTTTTGATATCACCATATTTTACATGATTTTACTATATATTTACCTATGTTTTCAAACGGTTTTTGCAAGATTCTTTGCCTTTAGAGGTAGTTTTCTTGTATTTGTGGGATTTGAAGTCTTTGTAGGAGAAATAATCAAAAAGGATGCAAAAAGGAGTAAAAGAGCCCTAAATCAAGATCCATGCAAGTTTCCAAGTCAAGAAGATCATTTTATCTCCAAGTGTTAGTTCTCGCTGCGCGCAGAACGAAGCTTCGGAAGTTTGGCCGCGCGCGGAGGAGTTCCCGACGTCCAAAAGTTACGATCTTGATATGGAAAGATAGATACTTGAGTCATGCATCACGTCGAAGTGGAATGAAGCCATTTGGATCAACTATGAGGCCTAGACTTATTTTCTACCGAGACATGTCCGGTAAGCGAGCAAACGAAGCCCATGGAGGATTTGGAGTGTCTAATGGCCCGAGCAGCAGCGCCAAAGGCCTTGATCGAATAGAGAAGAGGCCTGGCTAATGTTTGGAGCTTTCCTTGGTACAATGTCGGCCCATACACGACGTGGAGAAGAAGGCTTTGCTCGCGGGAAACTTTCCTTTTCCGGCATGAAGAAAACCCTACGCGACTTCGCCCATATATACATGTTTTTAGCCGCTGAAGAAGAGAATCGAGTCCAGTCCGAAAATTATCAAAGAGTTACGTGTGAGAAGAGAGAGAAGAGAAGAGAAGCCCTAGGAGATCGTCCAAGAAGAAGGAGGCGCCGCTCAACTCTTGTTCTTTCTTTTTCATTGTTTCCATTTCTATAAACTTGATCTTAAGAGTTTTCAAGGGAGAATCCGACTTTGTTCATCAATAGAGAAGCTTTCTTCATCCCTTTATCTCTTTTAATACTTGCATAATGTTTACAATCATGCTTTGCTTGCTTGTTTGCATCATGGCCGAGTAGATCTCTTAGTTAGGCCGAGGAGATCTATGGTGGCCGTGATGATTTGATTGTGTTGCAACTTATTGGGATTTATCTTATGGATCTTCACCTTTACTTGAGCTTAATGCATGATTACTCTACCGTACATCTAGTAATCTGATCTTAGAGAAATAGAACCACGACAGTGCTGAATCTAGATCTCAAAACTAGTATTTGGTGAGCAATAGATCATAGCCAACGAAAGCTGAGTTATGGTTTATTGTGAACAATTGAATCTTGAACCTTTAATGCATGTTTGCAATTCTAATAGCCAACGAAAGCTGAGTATATTAGGTTGTTTTAAACATAGTGGTTGGAGCCACGACAGTGGAAAGACCATACACTAGTGATTCATGTTCAAGACGGCTCTACACACATCCCATGCAACTATCTTTTCATCATTGCTCCATATGATTGTCCTTTGCCTAACTCTTGTTTTAAATTGTTTACAACCTCACTCACATTTCTTTTGTTTTTTCTCATTCTAGGTCCAAAACCACCTCATATTGCGAGCTAGCTACAAACCAATCTCACAAGGAAACTATGCCTCGCGTCCGGCCGAAGATTTCGATCGGCCAATTCCTATCCGCCCGACCACGCTGGCCGATCGTCATAACATCCGGCCCCGACCGTTCCGACTCGACCAAGACCCGACTGTCCGGCCGATCGTCCCGACGACCGTCCGAACGCCGCGGTCGACCCGAAGCCGTTTTTGAAGCCCAATCCGCACAATTCAAGCCCAAAGCCGGCGCCGACCTAGCTAGATTAGGTTTAGCCGTCTTCTTACACTTAGAGCATTATAAATACTTCTTTTTAGCCTTGTAACTCAAGAAGGAGAGAGACCACAATCTATTTTACATCTTAATAAAGTTTTGCTTGCTTTTACTTTGTTCTTGCTTGTTACTCTTTCTAGAGAGGATTCGAATCTCTGTTCTTATGAATATGAATTCGATTTCCTTCTCTATGTCTGAGTAGTTTACTTGTTAAGTGATAGGAAGTCAAAGGATAGCATTCATGATGCTTGATGATTGATCACAATTAGGGTTTTACTTATAATCTCCATCTTTGCTTATACTTAATGCTTGTTGTTAATCTGGCCAATTAGCATATGCCTTTAGGTTGATTTGAGCCTCGACAGTGCTGTATCATTCGCCTGAACTAGTATTTGGTGGGCAATCTCTTTTAGACTGCGACAGTTGATCTACTTGTAGGTTGTGAACAATTGATCTTGATCGAACTAATGCTTGATTTAATCACCTAGGGACATACCAAAAGTTTAGCGACTAGGTAGATTAACAAAGGGGTCGGAGCCTCGACAGTGGAATGATCATACCATAGTGTTTCAAGTTCTAGATTAGCACCTAAGTGCGGTAACCCTAATTGATTGATTTCATGCTTCTTGAATTGCTTATCTCAAGACTATCCTATTGCTTAGCCTTTCTCTCCTATTGAATTCTCACTTTTTATTACTTGCATGCTTTACTTTCTCTGCACTCAACCAACTTATACTTTTGCCCTAGCTTGTTCTCAAACTCATAACTTGTAGTGTGCAATCTGGTCCTTGTGTTCGATACCCGTTTACTACTTCTGACCTGTGCACTTGCAGAATCAGGGATAGGAAAAGGGAAGACCTGATCCCGCACATCATTTAACTTGATTTACTTTGATGATTGGAAAGAATACATAATCACTTGTCAAAACTCATTCTGCTCACTGAAATTACAAGAGATTGAACTATAGTTTGAAATTTGGATCATTGACCAAGACCAAATAAGAATTTATAGTTTGTGCTTTAATCTCTTGGATTGTGAACTTCAAGTTGGTCACTTGAGGATCACAATCTGAGAAACCATCTAATCATGATTTCAAGTGTTTTGCAAGGAGTTAACCATTTGACAGGAAGGAGAAATAGAGCAAACCTATAACCAACCTCAAAACCAACATGCATATGGCGGCCAAAGGGAGGTTAAAAGGAGATACACAGGCCATCACACGAAACAAGGCGGCCACCACTTGGGAATGACACAGGAGGGTTATTAAAACAATTCGGTCGAAGAAAATCTCAATTGGCCCGAGTGGATTTGAAGAAATTCAATCCAGACATTTCTCTCGGCCATACCGCGCACAAGGAGACCAACTACGGCCAACTCCTAAACGGCGTGACCAAAGTCCACCAAACTTCACAGGCGACCATAAAATCACATTTTGGTCGGCAAATCCAAAAGATAGGACGGAGAAATCATCACGGATCATGGCGCGCAAGCAATATGGCCGACAAAACCAAATCACGGCATAGGCGCGCCAACCGGTTGGAAAACTCTTCTTTGAGCTTAACTAACACTTTTATGCAGGAAGAAACGAAAAGGAACGAGCCAAACTTCACATGGCCAAGGAAACTCCTTCCCGGAGCCGACTTGACCATTTTGTGAAGGAAGTCTCAATCCGCTCGTACAAATGCTCCCAAACTTCACCAGAGGCTATAAAATACCAGGTTGGTCGATGAAATTTCAATATAGGTCATGAAATTTTTGACGGTTTGTTCTGTAGTTCACAGCACCACATTTTGGCCGACCGAATATACCAATCTCGGCCAAAACACAAACCGGCGGAAACCAAGGCCTGAAATTAAAAACTCACCGACCAATATTGCCTAAAGAAGTGTAGAATGACCCAAACCGGAACTGATCTTCATTATAAATTGGTCGACATTTGGTAACATCATCCTAAACCTTTTTCTTTTCAATTTTTCATTTGAACTTCATGTTATGCAAGTTAAGTTGGGGGGATTACTAACAATGTTTGTTCATTTTGGCATTTTCATTTGCATTTTTTCCCTTTTATCGAGTCGTTTTTATTGAGTCAAAATTTTTGTCGAGAATCATGACCTTATCTTGGATCTAACCATGGTTGTACTAATGTTTAAGTGACCATTGAGCAGTTCTTGGCAATACATCTTACCACAGGTGCACTATGAGTTGATCGATCTACCAAAAACGCCTACATCTCTAAAGACTTGAGAAGGATCCATCTTTGACTCCGCCCTTAATGAACTTAATCTTCTCAGCTAGGGGCTTGGCATACAAATGGCATGATTCCTCATCCTCTCCATCAAATGAAAAAGTCTTAGTGAGTTCGTGCTTCCCTCTCTCTCCCCTTCAAATTTAAAGAAAAAGCGTAAGGTCCAAGTAACCGGGGATTCGGTGGCAAACACCATCAATACTCGCGTCTATGGAAGGCCTATGAATCCAAGCAACCGGGGATTCGGTGGCAAACACCATCAATACTCGCGTCTGTGGAAGATCCAAGCAAAACCTCTATAATAAAGAGAAGGAGTTGAATAAAAAAATACTTCGCTACCCTAAAAAAGGGATGAATCAACTCAAAGAAGTGAGAAGAGAGAGAGGAGAAACATGGAGTAAAAAGACAAGTGCCAAACAAGGGGATGAGAAAGAATCTAAAAGCCGGCTGATCGATACTCCCTAGTTGAGACCACACCTTTAGAAATGAAAGGAGTCAAGGGTGGCGAATTGGATTGTCCAAGGAGAGGTGGACCGCTTTGGGAAAATCGCAAAACTCATGGTATGTACTTTGTTCTTAATTCAAAACTTGCCAATGCTGTTTCATGTGGATTACTAAAGCATAAGTCAATTTGGATTTCCAAAAGATTTGAGAGTTCTCACGTTTTCAAACCTCTTTTCCTGCTTAGTTTGCTTGGGGACAAGCAAAAGGCTAAGTCTGGGGGAGTTGATATCACCATATTTTACATGATTTTACTATATAATTACTATGTTTTCAAACGGTTTTTGCAAGATTCTTTGCCTTTAGAGGTAGTTTTCTTGTATTTGTGGGATTTGAAGTCTTTGTAGGAGAAATAATCAAAAAGGATGCAAAAAGGAGTAAAAGAGCCCTAAATCAAGATCCATGCAAGTTTCCAAGTCAAGAAGATCATTTTATCTCCAAGTGTTAGTTCTCGCTGCGCGCAGAACGAAGCTTCGGAAGTTTGGCCGCGCGCGGAGGAGTTCCCGACGTCCAAAAGTTACGATCTTGATATGGAAAGATAGATACTTGAGTCATGCATCACGTCGAAGTGGAATGAAGCCATTTGGATCAACTATGAGGCCTAGACTTATTTTCTACCGAGACATGTCCGGTAAGCGAGTAAACGAAGCCCATGGAGGATTTGGAGTGTCTAATGGCCCGAGCAGCAGCGCCAAAGGCCTTGATCGAATAGAGAAGAGGCCTGGCTAATGTTTGGAGCTTTCCTTGGTACAATGTCGGCCCATACACGACGTGGAGAAGAAGGCTTTGCTCGCGGGAAACTTTCCTTTTCCGGCATGAAGAAAACCCTACGCGACTTCGCCCATATATACATGTTTTTAGCCGCTGAAGAAGAGATCGAGTCCGAAAATTATCAAAGAGTTACGTGTGAGAAGAGAGAGAGAGAAGAGAAGCCCTAGGAGATCGTCCAAGAAGAAGGAGGCGCCGCTCAACTCTTGTTCTTTCTTTTTCATTGTTTCCATTTCTATAAACTTGATTTTAAGAGTTTTCAAGGGAGAATCCGACTTTGTTCATCAATAGAGAAGCTTTCTTCATCCCTTTATCTCTTTTAATACTTGCATAATGTTTACAATCATGCTTTGCTTGCTTGTTTGCATCATGGCCGAGTAGATCTCTTAGTTAGGCCGAGGAGATCTATGGTGGCCGTGATGATTTGATTGTGTTGCAACTTATTGGGATTTATCTTATGGATCTTCACCTTTACTTGAGCTTAATGCATGATTACTCTACCGTACATCTAGTAATCTGATCTTAGAGAAATAGAACCACGACAGTGCTGAATCTAGATCTCAAAACTAGTATTTGGTGAGCAATAGATCATAGCCAACGAAAGCTGAGTTATGGTTTATTGTGAACAATTGAATCTTGAACCTTGTAATGCATGTTTGCAATTCTAATAGCCAACGAAAGCTGAGTATATTAGGTTGTTTTAAACATAGTGGTTGGAGCCACGACAGTGGAAAGACCATACACTAGTGATTCATGTTCAAGACGGCTCTACACACATCCCATGCAACTATCTTTTCATCATTGCTCCATATGATTGTCCTTTGCCTAACTCTTGTTTTAAATTGTTTACAACCTCACTCACATTTCTTTTGTTTTTTCTCATTCTAGGTCCAAAACCACCTCATATTGCGAGCTAGCTACAAACCAATGATGAAAGGTTTTTGCGTGTGGATGTGAAAAGAATGAAATGAGATGAGTGGAATGCAATCAGTGGTATATGATGATGGTAAGATGCAAACACAAACACAGTCAACAATTCCCTTTAACCATGATAGTTGTAGTACAAAGGGTTATCAATCCAAAATGGGAAACTTGTCACTCTATGAGAATATGAAACAACCAGGAAGTCAAGCAAGCAGTTATAGATTTGAAGTAACACTAACAACCTAAAAATGAAATGCAGTGCAATAAAAGTAAACAAAGCAGTGAAGTGTCAGCTCGACCAAGAGCTCGAGTCGAGTAGAGCAAAGTACCAGCTCGATCGAGTTTAGGGACGAGTTGAGACAAACAAAGCTAAAGGTGACGACTTTAACAAGATAAAGAGAGAATTAGGGTTCAAGACAGGGTTTTGCAATCAAAGGAATCTACACTTAATCAATCTAGCTCTTAAAACTCCTTGTATCAAGGCTTCTCTTGATATTGGGCTTCTCAATGCCTAGCCAACCCTTTCCCAAGGTGGAGGCTATCAACCAAGGAATGATCTCAGAAACAGGGGGTTAGCCAGTGAGAATCAAACCTTGGAGGCTATAGGATCATTGCCCAAACTAATCCATCCAACCCCTTAGACCTCTATTGTCTAGAGCAAGAGATATTGGAGCTCTTAGTGGATCTTTTCCAGCGAATGCCATCACTTCCGTGTGGGGAGTCGCCTAAGGACTTACAAGCCAGAGCTTGGTGGTTTTTTCGTGGCTTTTAGCCCTTAAATACAAAGATGATTAGGTTTAGGGTCAAAGGAAAGTCAAGGGGGAAGCAACAATTTTCGGGTTTGACTGTTGACTCCCCAGCTCGATCGAGTTGAAGCTTGGCCGGTCGAGTTGAGGAACTCGACCGGTTGGTCGAGTAGACGGTCGAGCTGGTCTTCAAGATGGCTTCTCCCTTCTTCCTTTGCGTGTCCAGTTGAGCTGCTTCCATGCGCCAAGTCCCTCCATGCTCCTCATGTCCAATATGCTCCAGAATGCTCCAAAAGACCTATTTCAAAGGGCCAAACATGCATATGTATGCAAATGCAACCTAAAACTAACATGAATGCATAAGAAGAGAAAAGGAACAAGATATGATACAAATGGAAGCTAAAACTATGCAAAAGATGCATAAAAGATGTGCTAAAACTATGTAAAATGCAAGTACATCAACCAATCTCACAAGGTGTTAAGCGAGAACACTTCCTCCTCGTGTTCGACCCCGACTACAACACGGCTGTGCACTTGCAGCTCATTAGTTGGGTTTATAAATTGTGAAAATTTGAGGCAATCTAAACCCGCCATCAGTTTTAAAGCATCATGATCGGTAAAGAGAACAAACTCTTGATGAAAGAGATAATGTCGCCAATGCTTAATTGCTTGAACCACAGCGTATAACTCCACATCATAAGTACTATAACGACCTCGAGCACCAGCTAACTTCTCGCTAAAGAAAGTAATGGGTCGACCATTCTGACTAAGAACCGCACCAATGCCAAGTTTAGAAGCATCACAATGGAGCACAAAAGGGGATGAAAAATCGGGAAGCATGAGAACTGGAGCTGTCAATAGCTTATGCTTAATGATTGTGAACGCATCTTCAGCCTCTTGCGTCCAAACAAACGGAGTAACGCGGATGCAATCCGTGATTGATGAAACAATGCTGCTGAAGTGATGAACAAAACGCCTATAAAATGATGCCAAGCCATGAAAACTACCTTATCAGTATTGAGTATTTCATGAAGACTTTTCCTTGGGTTAATCAGAAAGAATTCATCATATATCGAAACGTGCAACTCTTCATCTGTAGGACTGAGATCATATTTATCTGATGGTAACCTAGACCATCGGAAAAAAAAATTAACAACAAATTCAGCTGTAAAATAATTATTTCTTAATAAAACCCTAACACTAACCTTTGTCTAAACTCATGCACGCGGGGGATGTTAGGGTCTAAAAATATCTTCGTGTTGCTAAAGTAATTTGAGATGCTATTCACAGCTATATCATTAGAAAAAATAAAAATAAACAATCAAATTTAAATAATATATGTGATGCGAAAAAGAAGATTTGATATTTAATTACACTGATATTCCTTGACGGACGCCATGCGGATCACACACACAACAGAATCAACGTTTTTTTTAACGTCCTGAGAAACTTGATGAGCATATGAGCATATTCACCCCATAGGGTACACGATAAATTCATATCACTATAAGCAAGTGGTTTAATATATCAATAGTAAGAGTATACTCTATTTGTCAGAAATGTATTAAATTATATATCCGATATATCTAACCTCGTATCTCCACTACAAGAAATATCAATATTGATAGCATAGTAGGATAGCACGATTTCTATAACTGCTATTAAAGAGGGTTCAATGATTTGGGTTACTATATTATAACATTTTATAAATGCTATGCCCAAATTTCATTAAGCGGGAGACAAAATTTCACTTAGTACTTGATGTTTTTATGTAAGATTTGGTTCAGAGATGAGTTTGTATGACATTTTATGTTTGATTTTAATAGATTTTCTATAAAATAAAAAATATCTAATATATATTGTTGATCAAATTATTTTGTATTAAGAAATAAAGATATAATAAGAATTAAGAGCTACAAAATAATAGATCAATAGCTCCAAAAGAAAGCTACAAATAAAATTCGTATAGCATTTAATTTGTGTTATAACAAAAGAAATTATAGCATTCATTATTTGCTATAATATGTTTACATATAATAGCAGACTTATAAAATGCTATCGTATATGGTCACCCTATTATAGCTGCGGCAAACACAGCACTTAAGAAAACGCTATTAAAGTGATATAATCACAATTTTCTAGTGCTATCAATACACATATTTCTTGTAGTGCTCTTAGATCAAGTCTAAGCCTCTGAGAGTTTTTTCCCTTGCCGTAACGACATTACCCATACGTACTATCTCACCCATAACGTCTAAGCAATCATGCAAAATAAGTATACAATCAACTAACGCAAATACAAAGATAATCGCAGAGAACAAAAAGATAATATATATCTTGATTACCTATCAAATAAGACCTATCCAAATTACCCGTTAGTATATCCTGAAAATTCAGCATATACTTTTCGGGCACATATCCCGGAAAATCAGAGCACGGACTAACACCCGTAGTGGCGTAGAAACTGATCTTAAAAGAACATCTTGACGTGCGTATGGCACTTTGGTAAGGATCAACCTTAAAACTGTCCAATACGACCGACCTATCTTCTACCAACTTGTTTTTGAACTCACCAACGCAATCCTTATCAACCGTAGCGTGGATTCTGTCACCCTGTTACTTAATAGACAATATTAGAATACGTACACAAAATTATCAATGTGAATTACATCAGTAGATTGTATTACTACGTGAATTACCTTTTCATATAATAAAACCATCTCCAACGGGGTTGCTCCCTTGCCTTTGTATCCATCCCAAATTTTGAGTATTTTGACCTTTATCTTAAAACTATCGGAAGACGAATTCAGATCGCCTAAGTGGACCAGAGACATTCTTTTTCTTTTGTATATCGACATTGCAAAAGAATTGTGTATATGACATAAAAAAGGAAGTGCAAGTTTAAGAACATGTATATATATAGATGAGTAGAAACCGCCTATAACGCCCAGGGGATTTGTGGAATATTTCTATTTAAGATTAGCTTAGATATATACACATAAACGATATTTACGTTTACATAGTATTCTATAGATATACACAGAAAAAATATTTACATTAACCTAGTATCCTACAATATATTAAAGACCATGCTGTTTTACTGATGTGGCAAGCTCACAGAATTTTGGACTTATTTTTGAATTATTTAAATAAATTATTTACTTTAAAGACGCGGATCTTAATCGGGTCGGGTCTTTCATTTACACCATCAAATGACTTTTCGGAAACTATATTACTGGGCTTTAATTAAACCCTGAAATGCACGAGTGACAGGCCCATTTTTGTTATAAATCCAGTCGGATATATGATTATTAATATCCCCAATCATATTGTCTTACTTTACATATTTTACGTGATTGTATACGAAGATACAATGTAAACATATATAGTTTATTGTATTCCCATTAAAAAAAGATGCTAAACGAACATTCAAGTTGTTCGACATTTCCGTATATATTATTATCATAATTAAGTTTTCTTGAATTTCCTTAAGTTAGAAATCCGATTTTAGTATTATTACCAAGTTAGAATAATCTAATATTACAAATTACATGAGTTAATACCGATTACCAAATATCAATTTCACATCTTCTTCCTCAAGTTAGTTACGCATTCATTACTTTGACATGGAAGAATTAAGTTTTTGAGAACTTTCTAAATTGTATATCTGTAATTAGAAGAGGATATATACACATGTCAATCACAATACTACTTTCCATCAAATCTGATATGTAGTTAATGAAGGAGATATTCCCAGAGTGACTAAACCTAAACAGAGAACCAGCTGTTATTTTCTCTATTTAAACAGAACCTTCTCCATGTAGAAGTCTCACCATCCTTCACACCGAAACCTTTATATTGTTAGTAAGATTTCATACATTTTGTAATGAGTTTCGTGTTTGTAAGGAATATATTCTAACATATTATATGGTGAACTGCAGTGTCGTGCGACATGTTCTTCTCTAATGTCATTTACTTGAATAACATATTCTTAGTTTTTTTTGAATAAGATTTGGTTCAAAGATTTTCTTCTCTAATGCCATTTTTAATGTTAATGTCCGAATCAGAAACAACGCATGAAGGTTTGCACAATAACATGCAATATCTCGTGAAGGGATCGAGATGACATTTGCCTATATTAGTTATCCAGGTGATATTTTTTTCAACGATCATACTGTTAATCATGTTCTTAATCAATATCATCAGACCATTGTTGTTCAGGTAAATTGACTCACAAACTGAGACAGAGCTTGAAGAAAAGAGGGTACGAGATGAAGATGCTCTTAAATCTACAGAGGTAAATTTTCTGAATCACGCTTAAATTTTCATTCTGAGTATACTACATGGAACTATATTATTAATCTTGATTTCATTTAGCTTGAGGCTGCTGTTGAGGAATGTATCGTTGTTGTTTGTGGTTTCACTTTTCTTAGGCTTGCGTCCAAAGTAGATGCCATCAATGTTACCCTTGAAAATGATTAGGAAAAGGTATAACCGGCAAAATCAAGAATTTACAGGACCTTCTTTAGGGATTTTGTGCAACTTGCTTTTCTCTGTCTCTATTTTCAACTATTCTTTGATTGTAGTTTGGAGCATATATCGTTAAAAGAGCACTAAGCGATGTTCTGAATAAAAATATGAACATTTTTACTCATGGCAATTATTAAAGTCTTATAGTATGTTCATTTACGTATAGGTTTTAGTTTTGTTAATTAATAGTTGTGATCTTAAAAGATTTTGTGTTGTATGTTCTTGAATTCTTTTGTATTTTGTGTTTGTGTTATTTGAATTTTATTATGAAACTGATATTTCTGATTTGAGTTTGTTTCTTTTTTGGAAAAAAAATTATATATAGAGGAAAGAGCACTAAGCGATGTTCTGAATTAAAAGTATGAACATTTTTACTCATCGCAATTATTCAAGCTTGATAGTATGTATATGTTTTAGTTTTGTTAATTAATAGTTGTCATCTTAAAGATTTTGAGATGCATGTTGTTGAATTCTTTTGTATTTTGTGTTTGTGTTATTTGAATTTTATTATGAAGCTGATATTTCTTATTTGATTTTGTTGCCTTTTTGGAAAAAATATTATATATAGAGGAAAGAGCACTAAGCGATGTTCTGAATTACAAGTATGAACATTTTTACCCGCTTGATAGTATGTTCATTTATATATAGGTTTTAGTTTTTGAAATTAATAGTTGTTATTTTAAGATTTTTGTGTTGCATGTTCTTGAATTCTTTTGTATTTTATGTTTGTGTTATTTGAATTTTATTATAAAACTCATATTCTGATTTGATTTTGTTGGCCTTTTGGAAAAAGTTTTATATATAGAAGAAACAAGACCAAAATCTGAACAAAAAGAAGAGGCCAAAGTTCTAAAAGAAGTCTTGCACACACCTTATTGTCAATGTGAAGAAGAAGATTCAGTCCTGTCAACTCTTCCATGCAGCAAAAACAAAGCATTACCCATGAAGAATGGGTTCGGTCGTACGGTTGAGACAACAAACAACCGAAATCGGGTGCAATAGATTTCGGTTGTGCTGGTGAGGATTACTGGAGCACATACAGAGACGTCAGTTGAGGAGAAGATAGAGGTTTCAGTGAAGGAGAAGGATGTTTGAGTCTCATTTTGAAGTTCCTTTGTGTTTTCTGTTGTTCATAGGCACATCTTTGAGTTTGAAACCTTTTTAAGCAGTTTTGTGGTATGTTTAAATTGATCGTATATGTTTAGATCATATATATACTGTTATGTGCTATTAGGACAAATATATGTTTTGAGTGTATTGTATATATGTGTGCTAAGCAATTGTAATCGCAAATTAAGAAATAAATGTTCTACTTTCATGGAAGCTTTATGTTAATGTTCAATGGTTATTGGTTGAGTGAGCTGGAGTTTGAAAGATTGATATCTTTCTTAGTCTCTTCTATTAGAAATGACACTCATTTGTTGTTATCTTACGAATTTAATCATTGTAGAAACTATATAGTATCTATCTTTAATATAATTTTTCTTTGATTATTATGTCTCCTGCATTGTGTAATGTTACAAGACATCTCGCTACGCCTTTATTCCACAATATATTCTGCGATCATAGCGATTCCCTGTGATATACGCACCAGGAAAACTTAATAGTAACAAAAAAATTCCAGGGTTGCTAACAAAATGTAGAAGAATAAGCTAAAGATGTTCTTATTGTTCTTTTCTCTGGTTTAGTTAGTGCAGCGTTTGTGGTCGGTGTGGTCGGATTCGTCTCACTTCTCATTCCTTTAACAAATCTGTCAAAACCTCTCTTAATTACTTACAACGATAGAACCAACAATTGCCCCTGTTGACTTTGGGTATTGTTTGTGGAAATGAATATCTTCAACCACAACTCTGAATTTATGGTATCCAGTTTGCACTAAGGTAGGGCAGAGGTATTGAATTGAGTTTTTTTTAACATTGATACTCGAATCTTCTTTTATTGTTTAAAACCTTTCATTCTCTACTTTTGTTCTGAATCTTGGTTTTAGCCATTGATACTTAAACTTGAATATTTAGTTAAGTTTATTATTTTTGATCATGACTTTATTTTTTTTGCAGTTTATCTGTTACACAATTCAAGTGAACATTCACCTTCCCTTATCTGAATGTTCTCTATATTGTAGGATATATAGAGGTATTTTGTGTTCAGGTAGAGAACATTCACCAGTACATTGAATCGATGAGAACAGCGTTTTTATGTCATGTTTTCTTAGTACGTAAGCATAGTTTTTAAAATTGGGCATGTTTTCAATATTGTATGGAAAAAAAACTATTGCGATATCTAATTTGTGAGGGTGGGGAGGGGATTTGAAATTTTGTTTTGGAAAGATATATATTGCGGGAAGTTTGAGTAATCAATATCTATTTCACATCATTATTACTTTATTTGCGGGAAGTTTGAAGAATTAAATATAACACCTTTACGAACATATTTTTTGTGATGATTATATAATAGATATTGCTATTTTTTTTCTCTCAATTCATAGTTATATATTTTAAGAAAGATTTATCTTGGCTAATTTTGCTTAGCATTTTTTTTCTAAAGATATTTAAAATTGAATTGAATCATCAGCAATTTTAAATATTTTGAAATGATTCAGAAAATAATTTTGAAAATACCTAATAGCCAAAATGAAATAACATACATAAATCAATAACTGAGAATTCATACGGTATTTTAAAATAAAAAACCTAAATATTTTTAATCAAAGACAAAAATCAGTATGCTTCATAATCAAGGAGTATATGTTAAGAAAAAAGAAATAAACATGTGATGTGAAATGATAATATTTTAAATCAAAAACATAACAATATGCTGTTTAAACATAACATCGTTCACAAAAATATCAGTTTAAGCGGACTTACCCAGAAGCCAAAAAAAAAGGGGGAAGTGGGCATGAGTAGTGGGGAGAAAAAACTCAAAAAATAAAACTAAATTATCATTTAAAAAAAACAAATTATAAAAATGAAAAAAACATATTCATTGAAGGACAATACCACTTGCGTGTAGTGCGGCGAAAATAAAAGACATACCTATTTGGGTCTATAAAAATTAAAATCAACATAACATTTTAAACGAAAAATTTAAGTTAATATTACCGCGCATTAGGCGCCGGAACACATCTAGTAACATATAGATAGATGAGAATTATCTTCCAAGTCGTTTGTAGAGTATTTCTAATTAGCATTAGTTATAGAAATGTATACGAAAAGAATATTTACCTGTTTCTATTATTTTAAAGATATACAAAGAAACAATATTTTATATTTTATAATATTTTAATATTAGATTATGGATTTTATCT